GTCAAGGAAATGCGTGACAAGATGATCAAGCAAATGCAGGCAGGTTGCACACTGGCAGGGCACCCTAAACCCTACCTATAGTCTCCATTGTAGTTCCTTTTTGGGGATACCTTATAAAATCCTTAATATATAATTGGCTAAACCCAAAAAAGGAACTGCAATGGAGACTACAGGTAGAGCTTTTTTCCGGAAACCCCAAACCCTAAACCCTAAGCCCTGAACCCTTTAAAGCCCCAAACCCTAAACCCTAAACCCTAAACCCTAAGCCCTGAACCCTTTTAAGCCCTAAGCCCTGAACCCTAAACCCTAAACCGTCGTTTAGAGCTTAGAGGGCTTAGGGTGTAGAGAGCCCCAGGAGTGGTAGCAAGGTCTTGTGGTGGGCCTTGCATTGCATCCACCAAAGCACTCCTATAGGGGACTTATAGGGTTCCTATAAGGGTTTAGGGTTTAGGGTTTAGGGGTTATTACAAGGGTTCTAAAAGGGTACAAAATAGGTGGCCCAAATAATTAGAATAGGGATTTGGGGGCCCAGGAAGCTATAGTTATAGTAAGGAGCCCCCCCCAAATATTTTTGGTAATTATTCAGGCCCTTCTACTAACCCTCGGGGCTTGGAGTTCAGGGTCAGAGGCTGTGGGATTAGCAGCCGTCGGGTGGAGGGAGCAAGTGTGGGTAGTAGATATACGGAAGTTAGGGGCCTTAATAATTAGAATAAGCTTTGGGGGTATATGATAACTATACTTATAAGAAGGAACCCCGATACAAATCATAGGTAACTAATAAGGCCCCTTTAGTAGTGCACTCGTATAAGCTCCGCGACTGCCCCCCCCCCCCCCCCCCCCGGACCCCGAACCCCGCCAACCCTCCTTGGGGTAGGGGGGGCCTCATAGTGAACTCCCCTTGAAGCTCTAGAACTGAAGGTCCCAGTGTTTGATACCTGGTATTCTGGGCCCTTGTTCCAGAGACGTTCGAAGATTCAGGACCTCTCTCTAAAAGGAGGGTCTCTTTAGAAAAGAAAAGCACGGCAAGTCTCCCAACAAGAACAATTTTGCCGATACACCTCAGAGTTTTGCGGGTTCAGGGTTTGGGGTAGCACCGAGACTGCTTTGTTTTTTAGGTATGGAAACATAGGCCTACACTAGGGCTTAGAGTTTGTGGCTTGGGGTTTAGGGTTTTATGTTAATGAGCATTCCCTAAGGAAGGCATATAGGTTTCTCCGGCACTACCACATTGTGATTGTTAAGGCCGTGATGCTGCTAGACAAGGCCCAAGCAACACCCAAACCCTAAACCCTAAACCCTAAAACCCTAAACCCTAAACCCCCGTGGTCATGTTCCGCGCTGCACAGCTGGTAGAGCATCAGGGCCACGCTCAAGAAGCCGGGGAAGACCATCCACCTGTCAGGTTTAGGGTTTAGGGTTGCGGGCCTTAAGAAGTTAGGTGCCAGTACCTGGTCTGTAAAACCCACCTTTTTCGGCTCCTTGTTATGATTTCCCTAAAGACAGCCATAAACAAAAAAAAGGTCCAGGTAGGGCTTGGATTGAGGAAGCAGTTCAACATTTACTCAGGCCTCCATGGAAGAGCTATAAGCCTTGGTGCGCTCAGTGCTTCCAGGACCCCTCAGAAAAAACTCATCTCATAGCTTTGTGCAGCATTTCAATCAGCGCATGGTCCCCCCAGCCTAAACACCCACTATTGCAAACTGTAGCCTCAGATACAAGTTATATCCCAAACCCTCAACTCTAAACCCTGAACCCCTACCCGGGGTCAACCGGAAGATCTCCTCTTGCGTGTCCAGCCCAGCCTCCTAGAAAATCCAGAAATCAACTGGTAACCGGTTAACCATTGGGATTACAGCACTAAGTTAAAGGTTAACTCTAGCAAAAGTTAAAGGGTAACTCTAGCAACTACCAGGAACTGGTTCTAAACATGCAAAATCCCGCATGGACTCGTCAAAACTTCAAAACATACTTAGTTGTAAGGCAACGCCCCCAAAACTAGCTCTCAAATATGTATCGCTCATGGACCCCCAAAAAGCTACCTATTTCAGAATAGAGTAGAGCGACAAAGGAAAAGTGGAACCGGTTTTCAGACGTGGAGGTTTCCCGTGCACACCTTATCATGCTTCTGACCGTTCCTGTAGGTACCCGTATTGCAAGGGCCTCAATACATGTGATAAGGTTCTGGGAACGTGTTGTGCAATAACTAGATAAAGCAACCTATCCCCACCCCTACTTCGGAGATTCCCTTTTAAAAGATGCCATAAATCGAAACAGCCAACAACAAAAGGCACATCCACAGCTTTGAACTTCAAAGTTACCGGAGTCCTTTTTGTTTGGGAGAGGTGCTTCGGCCGCCCGAGCAACTAAAACCCTACAGGCACCCAACACCAAAACCCCAAACGCTCAACCCCTAAAACCCTTAAAGTTTGAAACAGCACATCAACTGCAGGCTTCGGGCTCTACAAAGGGCCTTGTTTTCGGGGTCTTTCTTCTTTAAAGGGCGGCGTCTGACCGGGGCTGCAATATGATGAACACGATTATGAACCTTCAGCAATTTCAGGGTTCCTTATAGGAACTATAAGGGTGCTGTAAGGGTCATGCTCCTGATGACAAGGCCTTCTTGCTCATCAGGGGTTTAGTTTAGTACAGTGAGGACAGAGGGGGCGACCCAGAGGGATTAGCGGTAGCGTGTTGCGGCTTAGGCTTTAGGGTTTAGTGAAGTTTAGTGCTTGGGGCCTAGGCCTAGTGTGTAGGATTCAAGGGCGTTGTTATGGGATGTAGAAACGCGGAATGCAGGGATTACGGTTTTGGGGCTACGGGTTCATTCAGGGGCGCTGGGTGTAGGGCTTGATACGCCTGTGACTCCTGGCATTGGAAGCTGCCCTATGCCCTCAACCGCACATGTAAATTTGAACTTGGCTTAGTGAACCCTAAGTTTCAGAACCCTGAGCCTTAAACTTAAACATCCTTAAGCCCTACGCCCGCAGCTCGCCTGGTGAAGAGATCATAGAAGTGGAAAAAGAATGCAATGCGGCTGCCGGTATACTTCTCCACGACATCAGAAGAGCTCCTGCCAAGTTGAGCTAGTACAGACTGACCAGTTTAGAATAGGGGCTCCGGTACAATATGACTAATGTGGTAATGTGATCAGAAGGAACCCGATTATAAAGCCTTAGAGAAGTACATATAAGACCCCTCCGATAACCAAACCCGATGGGTACGTCAAGAAAAAGCCTAAATCCTAAACCCAAAACTCTAAACCCTAAACCCTGAACCCTAAACCCTAAACCCCAAGAAAAAAACACAAAAAAAAGGCCTCAATTCTCCGAGGGACTCCTTTGGCCATTCGAGCATTGCACGCGGACTGCTCCAGCCCCTGAGATGTCGTAGTGCTTTGTGGTTCTATACAACGTAGGGGCCTTAATAATTAGAATGATTCTACTAATAGTTACAATAAGGAACGCCCGATTTATTTTTTAGGGGCCTATAGTAATAGAGGTTGCATAGGGTTTTGTGGGATTTTCAGCTTCTTTAATGTATTCCTTGGAATAACCGTCTTCTGGGATTCATAAGCGCTCTATAGGGTTGAATACAGGAGCCTTAAATATCTGCATCTGCATAAGGTTTTGGGCATAGCATTACGTACTTTGTTTAAGAACGACAAAGGAGCCTTTCTTACTAGCTATTTCGACCCAATGGAACCGTTTCCCTTGTGTGGGAGAGTGGTTTAGGGCTGAGGGTCAGGGTTGAAGGTTTTATACGGTTTGAAGCGGTTTGACAGGATTGCTGCTGAACTGGCTTCGTATGGCTTGGTCTTTAGAGGTTGCAGGGATTGGGGCTTGGTGACCTCAACGGCTCATACAGGGGCTTTAATGAGAACAGGGTTTCGGGGTAACTTCTAGCAGGTATACATACCACAAGGAACCCTGACGGAAAAGTATTGCCGCTTCAGCCTGGGCGGTTGAGACGCAGCTTGTTCAGGTTCAGCAGACTCTACCCATAGGCCCCTTAGTAGTTCCTTTTTGGGATTACCTCATAGGATTCGAAACATGAACCCCCAGTTTGATAGGGTTTACCTTAGCCCCAAAGAAACCCAAACAAGCCATCCCTTCTTGAGGCTCCTTATTAAGATTTCAAGTTACCCACCGCTTCAGGGCTCCTTATTAAGATTCCCGTTTATAACCCCTAGGGTCCCAGTACCGAATAATCATATACTAACCTACATATCTACTATCCAGAACCTAAGTACCTAATTATTGGGTCCTTTCGACCCTTGGGGCAAGTCCTTCGGTTGATGGACAAAATCCTGCATGACCTTATACACCTAAACTATGGGATTTATGGTACTATACTTATTTGGGTCATGCAGAATTTTGTCCATCAACAGTTAGGACGGTAAGATCTTGAAGTGCAGGAAGGGTCTGAAACGATCACAACATGCAGCGGTCCAAAACGAATGTGTTCTCAGGAAAATCAGGGTGTAGGGTTCAAAAATGTTTGGGGTGGGTTCAAAGGTTAGAAATAATGTGCCGGCCATTTTTAAAACAATGTGCCTCTTTATTGCGTTTTTTTCTATGCAAGTCGGGACCCAAAAAAGGCGGCCGAATAAATACTTTATTCGGGCCTGGCAATTGTTGGTGGTGTTGCTTCCCTTTTAGAAATGGTCAATCTTAAAGCAGCCAGGACCTAAACCCCCCTTCCAAATCCTAAAACGCTGGCCCTGAAGCCTGAAACTCTCCCTAAACTCGAAACCGCCCTTAAGCCGAAACTGCCTAAACCCCAAACCCTAAACACTCAAACCCTAAAAACGTGTACAATTATATTATACTGTACTACTACTGTACCACTACGCTAATACTATTGTTTTGCTACACTACTACTGTACTACTGTACTACTACTGTACTACTACTATACTACTGCACTACTACTGTTTTGCTGCCGTACTACTAATGTACTACTGCACTACTACTGTACTACTGCACTACTACTGTACAAATGTGTACTATTATACTTTTCTTGTACTTCTCCTGTATAACTGCACAGTACCAGGCCTCAGATTTCTTCGCTTGTGGAGAGAAGTGTAGACTGGAGGGAAAAGTCTTCAACATGAAAAGGCTTTAATGGTGGTAGTTTTCTTCGCGGTTTAGGGTTTAGGGTTTAGGGTTTAGGTGATCGGGGCTTGGTTTCGAGCTTTTGGTTATTTTGACCTCGACCCAGGCATCCGCGGAGAACCGCAGACCCTCCACCCAAGCCAGCCCACGAACCCTGGGGACCCCCCAATTCAACCCAAAGGCTCCATGTACCTTTATAGTAGATACTTAGGCCTTAAAGGGGTCTCTATATAGGTGCGTTAAGGCTTAAGTATCTACTATATGGGCACATGGAGACTTAGGGCAATTCTAAATCAGTCAAAGCCACCCAGACCCCAAGCCAGCCCACAAAATCTGGGATCCCCCCAATTCCCTTCCAACTTAGTGAAGGACACCCAGACCCCAAGCCAACCCAAGAGCACACAATCTACCGAACCTTGGTCCAGGGGGTCAGGGAACCCAGATTATTCAAGCCAGAACCTTTTGGTTGGGGAGCGGTATATTAATTTGGCCGCCACAATTACCTTGGACAGTAAAGATGTTATAATAGTCGGGGTGCAGGTTATAGGGAAGGAGCAGTATGTCTACGTGTTCAGGCCCCTGACATACTCTGCAAAGCGACCAGCTAGGCGCTCACCGCCCCCGGAAACATCCAAAGCGGCTACTGGAAACCAAAAATAAAACCCTACACCCTGACCCCCGTTATGGAACCTGCAAAACCTTTGCAGGAACTTTTTTGCCCGATGATACCTTAAACTGAGCACTAGGCTGTTGCAGCTCAGGGACCTTTGGTACAGCGTTTCAAGCCTCTCCCATTCATGGAGCGCCATGAACTTCGTGATGACACCGTACTGCAGGGCATTTGGGTCACGAGGATCATTTCTTGGCTTCAGAAGCTGTCTAGGTTTACAAGGCATTCATGTGCTTTCGAATTTTATGAAGGCTTGCTTTAGGCCTTCGGGTCTTGGGCTCAAGGCCTGGAGCCGTGAGGGGGGAGAGAGTCGCAACAAAAATTAGGCTTCTAGCTTGAGTTTTTCAGGGGATATATGGGCAGTTCTCTAAATAATGGACCTTTGTTAGGTCCCCAGTATAGTACGGCACTCTTATAAAAAAGGACCCCAAAAGGGACCTCATTTAGAGAACTGCCCATATAGTTTAAGGACCAAGGTTCGGAATTCTTTGTCAGGCCACATTCTGGAATGCTTGAAGGAACGATTATAGAAAACCTTACCGAAATAGAGGAGCCCGTGTAGGATACCTTCAAGGGGCCCTTATAGGAACCCGTAAAGGAACACCTAAACCCTCAACCCTGATACCCTATAAGCCCTATGAACCCTAAACCCTATAAACTCTCAACCCTAAACACCAAACTCTAAACCCTATTAAACCCTATAAACCCTATAAACCCTATTATAAGCCCTGCAAACCCTATAAACCCTAAAAACCCTATAAACCCTATAAACCCTATAAGCCCTCAACCCTAAACTCTAAACCCTACACCCTATAAACCTAAAAACCCTATAAACCCTAAAAATCCTATAAGCCCTATAATCCCTAAACTGAAAACCCTACACCCTATAAACCCGAAGCCTCACTGAACCCTCAACCCCAAACTCTAAACAAACCCTATAAACCCTGAACCCTCAACCCTCAACCCCAAATTCCGCACGCCTTCTCCATCTCCACCAAGCTGAAGAGCGATCGCAGGTGCCGTCGCGTCATGCGCAGCTGCTCTGGGACGATGAAATCCTCCACCTGCGGGTCTCGGCTTTTGCCCAAAGGGTCCTAGGTACTGTTATAGGGGATACTTTCCCAAACCATAAAAAACTATTCCTAAATATAGAAACCCTACATTCTACTATATAGGTACATTGGACCCTTTGGGTTTTGAAGTCTACGAGGAAGTCTACCATATCATGGCTCTATTCTGACTATGTTATAACTATATTGTAATAACTATACTATACCTACATTGCAACTAGTATATAGCTATTATTACAACGATAGGATTATAGGGTTTAGGGTGTGGGAGGGTTGGGGAAGTCTTATGGTGCGAAAGCTTTTCTTGTTAGGTCTTGGAGGTGGGGAGTGGGGAGCTCTGAAAGGTGTCAAGATGTATCTTGTGAGGTCTCACGGACTGTATGCCGTCTTGGAGGGGTTTTGGGCTTTAGGGTTTTAGGGTTTAGGGTTTAGGGCTTTAGGGTCCAGGGTCTGGGGTTTTAGGATTTAGGGTTTTCGGGCTTAGGGCTCAAGTGAAACACCGCAAGACGAATCAGCTGTGATGCATCAAACGAAATTTGAAAGGCGTGCAGGGCGCCTAAACTATCAAGCAGGGTTGGCCTTATATTCCTGAACGTGTTTGAATCTTATCCCCAAACACAACTACTGGTAAGTGGCTATACCGCCTGAAACAGCCCCACGGAATCTGGCCTAAACAACACTACCAAACTCCGCGTTAACACCAACAAACATCCGTCTGATGGGGTTAAGGGCTGACATCCCCGTATTGGTTTTCATCGTCTAAGGCTTCAACAAGCCCTATAAACAAAAAACTGGTAATCCCCTTGGGGTGCTTGTCGATAAGTACATGTAGGACTATACTGTGGAACGATTGCTAACCCTAAACCCTAAACCCCAAACCCCTAAACTCTAAACACCTAAACCC